CCTACATCCATTTGAATTGTCCCATTAAAACGTGTGTGAAATGCTGGTAATGTATGGCATTTGCTTATTAGTGAGGTTTGGGTGACCAACTTATAGCTACTGATTTAGTGCTAGAAGCAGGAAAAAGAGTTACAGATGAGACAAGAACTCATGGTTTCTCTCTCAATACTCATAAGGTATTGAAAAGGTGTGGAGATGTAGCACTTAAAAGCATGGGTTAGTGGTGAACATGGCAGTGCTGGGATAACAGTTGGACTTGATGATCTTAAAAGTCTTTTCCAGCCTAAATGAACCTATGAATCTATGATTTCTGAATAATCCCATTAAATTATCCTGTTAAATATGAATTATCCCATTAAAACATGGGTGAAATGCTGGTAATGTGTGGCATTTCCTTATTACTGTAGTTTGGTTGACCAGCTTATGGCTACTGATTTAGTGCTATAAGTGTGAGAAAAGGTTAAAGATGAGACAGGAACTCATGATTTTGAATGCACTGTGAAGACAGCGTGTGAGTGATGAAGGGATGGGTTGTGAAAAGGGGTCTTCTGCTGGGCTTGACCTCTCCTTTTGTCCTTTGTGGCTGAAGCAGCACAGGAATAGGTTTTGTCTGCCTGAAGAAGATGAAGGAGGGCCCCAAAGGAAGGATCTTCTCCTCCCAAACCACTCTGCATGTCAGCCATACAAGCGGGGCTCACCATGGTGTCCCAGGGCAGCACTGATGAAGATTTTTCAACGTGGCAGACATTGCTTCTTGATATCTTTCATTGTAATCTCTCCTCTCACTGAGTGCTTTGGAAGGGATCTCCAAAATCCAAGCATCCAGGAGTCATCTCTGGCTTTTAGGATCCATGTTTGGCTAAATCCAGCAATGAACAGAGCCCTCATTCAAAATACTTCAGGGCATTTGTCACTCCCTAGTCACTATCCCTAGAGCCTGGAGGTATTTAAAAGATGTGAAGATGTTGCACTTAAAAGCATGGTTTAGTGGTGAACTTGGCAGTGCTGGGATAACGGTTGGACTCGATGATCTTAAAGGTCTTTTCCAACCTAAATGAATCTATGAATCCATGATTTCTGGCCAACGTTGTGAGTGAAGCTGGGCAGAACAGACGGAGCCCATATCCATACTGGAACAAGTTGTGCCATATGGGGGACGACCATCTGCAATGCTTTGCTTCCTCAAGCCTGCCCAGATGATATACAAGAATAGTTTGAGCAAAAGATCTCAGACAACAGCACTTTCACATCACTTGTGGTTTCTGGGGGCAGTTAAGTTTAACCCTGATAAAGGCCGCTTTGTCACTCTGCTGCATAACAGCAGTAAATAGAAGGTTTATCATTGTCCTCATCATACAGCTGACTGCATCTGGGTGCCTCCAAAAGCTCATGGGCTCCCTTCTCTCCCAGGATGCAAGCTCCTATGGCTGAGGTCTCAGTGCTGAGGTGATGCTAACCAACACAGACCTCTCTTTGCTGTCACCCTTCAAGGGGGGGGGGCTGAATTCAGCATCCCAGAAATGATGCCTGGGTGGTCCCAGTTTACAAGCATCCCTGGGAAACACTGCCAGTGCTTCCCCCTCCCTTCCCCAATCCCTGCATTCCCTGCTTCCTTGAAAATGGGGTGGCCATGGAAAAAGCTGGGGAGAAAACAGATCCCAAGGGATTCATTGGGTCCATATGTAAGACTCAAGCTGAAAACATGAGTGGCAGCTGAAGGCTTTTTGCCCCCTTGTGAAAACAGGGCGGTTTGGTGGTGCTAAATTGAGCTGGGATTGAGTAGAAGCATTTAAAAGACTATCAGTACACTTCACATCATGACCTCAGTGCTTGGTTTCATCCCGGTGACCATTTGGCTTTGTTGTTCACTGGATTCCTGCACAAACCAGCATGTCCTGGGTGCTTTCTGTAGCCTTTCATGTACAGAGACCAAACAGTCCAGGACCAGTATTTAACCAGGCTCTATGTGTGCATGTGTGTTGCCATGGAGGAGCAACCCCGTTGTCAGGAGTTGTATTAAGGGATTGTTTTGGTCTCATTCTGTTTTGCACAAGAGAGTCTGTCCCTGCTCTCTTCATCTCTTCATCTCCTATGGGTTGTTGGACTTTCATGCAAGGGTGGGATTGGGAAAGAAAAACTCAGTCCCCTGAGGAATTAGGGTGAATGGTGTGAGGAATACCACTGAAGAACCCCCTCCTACCATGTAAGAAAGAGAAGTAAATATAGCAGTGTTATGTGCTGCACATGAGAACACAGCTGTGGATACAGGGTCTGAGTTTTACCTTTACTTCAGCTTCTTCTGAACTAACCCACGCTGCTGGCTCATGCAAGATGAACTCAGACAAGATGAAAAGCCTTTTCAGCAGCTGATTAAGACGCACGTCTCTCTCTTCCTCAATCCCAATGTGTTTTCTGTTAGGAATCTGTTATCTGGAGAGTTTACAGCTCTCAAATTGTCAGGACTTTCTGGAGCATTTGATAGGGTCAGTTCTCCCCTGGGGAACTGAAACCACTCACCCCAGTCCTATGGCATAGCTGTTTTCTGACTGACCTCACCAGCTTTTACACTTACTGCTTTTTCTACCTCAAAACCTAAATCTTCGAGTCCAGGTTGGATAGGGCTTGGAGCAAGCTGCTCTAGTGGAAGGTGTCCCTGCCCGTGCCAGCAGGTTGGAGCTGGATGAGCTTTAAGGTCCCTTCTAATCCGAACCATGCTATGGCTCTACCTCTGGGCTCCAGATTTACCTCTCTGAGGCCATTCACCCAGAGGAGCCTTAGCTAACTCCCAAAATTGATGGAAGAGCTACCAATAGATGCTTGTAAGCATTTATTTTCACTAGGAGTTGCTAGTGCACTTTGCAGAGTGAGATATAAAATGCTTTGATCTACCATAACAGGTCCTTAAATGCTCCTCCATAGAGCTCCATAGATCTTCAATGCTCCTCCAGTAGAGCATGGGGTTCTTCAATTCTGACCCCCTGTAGCATTAAGGAAGGCACATGGCAGCTATGGAGGCACTGCTGTGGCTGCACACATCCGACCTGTGACTGGGGTAGGTCTGACCATCTCTTCCTGGTCCTCGTCATGTCCTGGGGGAGCAAAGCAGCACAACAGGCTCTTCTGACAAGCCATTAATAGGGCTGCAGCTGGATTTGGGTTGGAAAAATGTCACTCCCTGTGGTGAAATCAGTCTGGTTAAAGAGGGGAAGTTCAGGTCCAACCCAAACCATTCTATATGTCTCTATGGTGCAAACTGGAGCACAATTAATGGTTCACCAAGTGGCAGAAACCAAGACACAAACAAGCATCCCCTGGGGGACAAAAAGAAAAGAGGGAAAATTCTGTTTGCTGCGTTGCATGACATCCGTTAAACTCACCTTCTTAAATGGTATTTTTGGCTCTGCTGGTACCAAAAACCCAGTCTGAGATGTCATTGACTTTTAAGAGAATAAGAGCTTCTAATGGATGTGATGTATTTCACTCTGTGCAACTGTGCTTGGTTTAAAATAAACATGTGACGTTCAAGCTCTGAAACTTATCAGGCAATTAATACATCTGATATACACATGTATGTTCTTGATTTGGCATGTTAAAATGTTTTTCTCTGAAGCTGGTTTAGATGGAATGACATGATTTATTTTTTAATGGCTCTAGACACCACAGAGTTGCCTTTCTCCCCCCCCCCCGGAGTCAATTATCCTTCACCATCTCTTCTTCCCCCCTCCCTCCCTGCTTAAAACATCACACCCTGCCAATTCCTGAGCAGATCTCTCTCACAAAGACCTGGTTTACCTCTTGCTTTGCAAGAGTCGGGTTGATAATCCCAACAAGGAACACCGCGGCTCCCAAGCTGCCTTTGCCAGGGACCTGCCCTTCCATCAATCTCTCTCCATCACCTTAGTGTTGCAGCCCAGATTCTAACCAGCACTGTTGTTAATCCATCAGGGAAAGGGTGTGAGAACAAAAGGTCTCTTGGATACTTCAGGCCCGTGTTTCCAGCTCCACCACAATTGTTCTTTAAAGGAATTTGTAATTTTATGGTTTTTGGGTTTTTTTTTCCGGAATGATTTATTTTCAGACATGTTGTTTGTGACTTGGAAATGAAAACCCAGATTCAGCATGTGTATGACCAAGGGTCTAATGGGGCTCTGCAAGGCAATGGAGGGAGGTTACTGAGCACTGGTAAAGTCCACCCCAGTGTTTGCTCACAGGCAAGTAGGAAGGAGGAACAGAGCAGCACCTCTGGGTGACCATTTCTGTAGTGCAGCTGGCTTTTCATAGAATCAGACTGGTTTGGGTTGGAAGGGACCTTAAAGCTCATCCAGCTCCAACCCCCTGCCACAGGCAGGGACACCTTCCACTAGACCAGGTTGCTCCAAGCCCCTGTCTCCAACCTGGCCTTGAACACTGCCAGGGATGGGGCAGCCACAGCTTCTCTGGGCACCCTGTGCCAGCGCCTCAGCACCCTCACAGGGAAGAACTTCTGCCTAAGAGCTCATCTCAGTCTCCCCTGTTCTGGCAGGTTAAAGCCATTCCCCTTGTCCTGTCCCTACAGGCCCTTGTCCAAAGCCCCCTACAGGTTTCCTGCAGCCCCTTCAGACACTGGAGGTGCTCTAAGGTCTCCCCTTAAGGAACCTTCTCTTCTCCAGGCTGACCCAGTCCAGCTCTCTCAGCCTGGCTCCAGAGCAGAGCTGCTCCAGCCCTCGCAGCATCTCCACGGCCTCCTCTGGACTCACTCCAACAGCTCCACTTTCCTTTAAGGGCAAAATCTCCTCTAAAAGAGACCCTCCTTATCCAGGGTGCAGGTAAACAACCAGCTACTCCTGGTACATGCAGGCAGACCTCAGCCTGGCCAAGTGGCACTCACACCTTTTGCCCTCCATCACCTGAGAAACAGCTTGTAGCCAAATCAGTGCAGGTCAGAACATGGTGAGGTGCAAGGAAGAGGTTCAGCTCCTGCTCAGAGCGGTGCAGTCAAGGATGTAAATCTCATACCCTCAGTAGCTGCATGACATCTTTATTTTTATTGGCAAGAGAAGCAGTATACACAGCAACATTGCAGTCTCTTAGCTCGTTAAAAATATCTCAATAAATAAAACAAATAAGCAACATATACACTGAAACGAAAAAGGGATGAGGGGGGTGAGCGGTAGCAAATCATGGAGCAATAAGGAAGAGGCAGTAGAGCGTGGAGGGCAGTCTGTAATCCAGGCTGTACTTGAGACAAATCATGCAGGGAGCTGGGGACACAGTGGGGGTTTTTCTTCTCTTTTTTTTTTTTTGTTGTTTTTTTCTTAAGAGAGCCTTGGTCCAGTTTTGCCATTACTGTACAAAAAATCAGGCGCTGGATTTAAACAAACAGACAGCAAACAAACCCAGAAAAGAATGCAGGTCCAGGGGAGTAAAATCTGAACCCAACCATTTCTCATAAATGTATTCCTGAATTAAGGCTTTTCAGAAGAACAAAGAGCTAAAACCAAACACACACACAGACAGACACAACGATGGACACCCAGGAATGTCGTTTCTCTTTTCTCTTTGGTCAGTCGCTTTAGGGAGAGATGTTGCAAAGTTTCAGACCATCAGCTTTGGTGCTGTTTTCTGCTCAGTCTAAGTGGTCCGCAAGAGTTCAGAGCAAGGGAGGTCAAGAGGGGGTCTTTTGGACCAGTTTACTTGAGGTTGTTAAGGTTTCAGAAGCTACAAACTTGGATACATCCCAATTCCACTTCAGTCTCAGACATTGGACAGTCTGGAGAGAAGAGACAAAAAAGGAAGAAAGCAGAAATAAATACACAGAATACAGGACATCTTTCTGAGGTATGTTGTCCGGTAAAGTTGTTTTCCCCTACAGATTATGGCCGTGGCTCATGATCACCAGTAACCACGTGTTGAAACCTACCCCTGGTCCCAGCAGACAGCTAACCCAGCATCTGGGTGAGATCCAAGGCACCAGGAGCAGCCCCACACCACCTTGAGCAAGGGAAGAGTGGAGATTGGATGCTTGGGTGTCTGAGCTGGGCTTTAGGAACTCCACCTACAGTGACTCCAGCCCAACATCAGGCAAGCTCTGTGGGAAATGAATCGGTTTTCTTTCCATCCCTGGGTAACACATTTATGCGATATCTAAGCACACCCAAAACCACCACTACCCACAGAAAAATCAACCTAAACTTAGCAGTTCATTTGGCTTTCGGATGTACAACCTAAGTTCAGAGGTTGGAATGATAAATCCATAGGCAGGAGCAAAGCATCCATCACAGAGGCCATCTGCTGACAGCAGCATCTCCAACCCCAAGGGGTGTTGTGCTAAACTCCAGTTCTCCACGCGATTCCCGGTGACTCAAACGTATCGTCTCTCTTCTGCCCCATTTATTGGGATGTGACAAGATGCAGCAGCATATTGGGAACCCTGCTACCTGCAGGGTTTGCTCTGATCTGCAGCAACCTGCTGCTGCTCGGCTGTGGGCTGGTGGGACAAACTCTGCGACCCAGCCATGCCCATGGGAGACCCCACCTAACTTGGGGGAGGGATGGCTTTGCAGGCGCGATGCTGTTTCTGCCTTCAGAAAGCCACCTCAGCTCATATATCAAAAAGCAGATATAATTATTTCCTCCCACTAAGGAAAGCTCCCATTTAGCTTATTTCCTTTCCTTTCCCTCTCAAAGTTATTAATTATCTAATTACAACCACATTCTGCAGACGAGCTAAGGACTTGACAGGCTGCCCAGGACCACTTAGGAAAGCTTAACTACTTGATGTGTGTGAGCAGCAGTGGTTTATGTATGTGCACATCTGACAGATGACAGGTTGGTCCTTTCCTAATGTTGGCGCGGGTGAGGGACTCAGGAAAGGAAAACAAAATACAGGGGGGAAGAAAGATACCATGGAGAGATTTTCTGATGGCCTCCTTTTAACATTGTTTTCTCCAGCAAGCAGAAGAAGGGATGGAGGATGCTTGCTGCCAGTCACACGAGGTATCATCGTACCCTGCTCTTCACTGAGCCTGGCTGCCATGTAAAACAAGGTGAAAACAGGTAGGAGGCAATACTGAGCTGATCTGTTTGCACTGGTGTTTTAAATCCCACTCAGGACTGGAGAGGTCAGCACAAAGCCGCTCTTGGAGCAGAGCTGGTGATATGCAAACTGATGGATTTAACCCCGGCTGAGACACCCTGCTCTGGCTGCTGCTGCAGTGCAGGATCCCGTTCCCACTGGTTCTTTCTGGTTTCCAACAGCTTTTTTTTGGCTCTGTCTGACTGGAAAAAACGGGAATTTCACAGCAGCTCAATGCTGATGTCTTCCCTGTTACTGCGAGGTGAATCAGTCTAGGTCTACCCTGTGCACGGCACTGCGGCTGTGCCCCACGGCTCTTGCATGGCTCTGCCGAGTCCCTTGCATGCTCCCATGGGAGGCTTAACCCATCCTTTCTCATCCCACACAGGTCACCAGAATGAGGTGTCGTTGTGGATAGATGTGGCTGCTGCTCAGCTGCTGCTTGGCCAGTGCCTGGTTATCGTAGAACAGCTTGGGCTGGAAAGGACCTTCAAAAGTCATCTAGTCCTACCCCCAGGTTATCAGCCTTGGCAGGATAATCTGGTAGGTTTTTTACACTGCACATTAAAGCAGCCTGTCTGAGCTGATTGAGCCTTATTATGACCAGATATAGGGTACACCAAAGGAAGCTGCTCTACCTGGCCATGAAGGGGTTATTCTTCACATCTTGACATAAACTTGTGTTTCAGTTCATAGCCTGTAACATTTTGCTGGCTATTCTTACTATGTATTCTACATACAATCCACATCAAAGAGTAAAACCCACTTGTTCACAAAACCAATCTATCAGCACAAGGAAAGTGCACAAGATGAGAACCCCTGCTGTGTGATCTGCTCCTTCCATTTCTTCTTCTGTGGACTTTTGGGATGTTGGGTGCTGACTGCTTTTGAAAACCTGGCTCTAAGTACCGGTTTTGAAAACATATAAATGGTAACAGAAGGAGGAGGGTATCTGCTTGTGGCATCAAAGACACTTTGGTGGTGGGATGTGTGGCAACATGTCCACTGCAGGCAGAGAAGTGATGTATGATGTCTGCTCCCAGCCTGTTCTTCTTCAGCTATCCCCTCCTTCCATGTCACTCAGATAGAGCAGCACTGTGCTAAAAACCTGCTAGCATCCCACATGGAGCTTAGTAAGGTTGGCGGACTTCAGTGGCTTCTCAGTTTGCTTAAGAGTGCTATGGGTATTGGAGAAATCATACTCTGAATCTAGCTTGTAATCCTCATGTCAGAAACCTGGTCCTTGCTTGTAGTGGTTTGAGTCTTGCAGGGGGAAGGAGGATCAGCTCCTGGCTGAGAAAGAGGGGTAATATCCCCCAAAACCTGCTGCTGGTCTTTCCTCCTCCCCTACCCAGTGCTGGCACACCACTGCAGCCAGACTGCCTCCTCCTGCCCCTTGTTTCTGGAGACCCCACCTTGAACTGCTCCAGTAAACCCAGTGCCTTGTGCCTGAGCCCCCAGAAGGGCTGGTTTCATCCCCCAACTCATCATGCACCAAAAGGGGCAGCACAGCCCTGCTTTCCTTCAGGAGCTGTAAAAATGAGGTCACAGGGCCCTTCAGGCTCCTTTCCCCCCTTAAATCATAGAGAGTTTTTCCATAACGATTTTGTGTTTTTAATGGACCCTCCCAAGATCGTGCTTTATGTTTATGATCCTTTAACCCCAGAGGGGCTCAGCAAGGAGCTCATCAAAGCCTGTCAAAGCACTCTGCTGGCAGCTGCTCCTATGGCGCTTCTCTGCTCTGCTCCCATGACTGGGACCCATGGAGGCTTCCTAATGCGCTCCTGCAGGAATGGCTGCAGGTTTCCTATGGCAGCAGAATGATGAGGTACAGACTTGACCGAAGCAGGAAAGCACATAGCAGGCTTCACAGGGAATGCCTTCCTGGCACTAAGCTGGTGTGATAGCACATCAGGACAACACAGAGCTTAGTTTTAATCACGTACAGGCTCGCTATGTAACTGCTCTCTTTGCACTTGCCTCAGTTTCCCTGGTTGGGAAATGGCAGTACGTCCCTTCCTCTCTTACAGTGCATGTGGGATTTAATCAGCTGGTGCCTATAAGGCACCTTGTGATTCTCTAAGTTATAGCTGAAAGGCATAATGCTGCATTATAAGAAAGCATCAGGACTGAGAGCTAGTAGGCGGTGAAACTCTCCGCTGAACACAGTTCTCAAGCGTTTCTCTTACCCTGTAGCTTGGAACACAGAATGTAGTTCTTATGCATTACTTTATTGCAGACCCAGTGCAGTTTCCTTTGCACGGTGAATTGAGGGCTTGCTGCTCTATTTTCTTTCTCTGCATTTGGAGCACTCCCCAGCCCAAGAACACAGCATGGAAACCGTGAGAGCAGAGAGCTGCTGGTTTGATGGAAGGTGCAGCAATAGTACAGCCGGGGATTTTGCAACAGGACCCTGAGGCCTTTGCTCATATAGAATTAGGGTGGTTTTGATTCCAAAGGGATTGAAATAACTTCCATAACATAACTCAGAGTGCAAATGCAATAGGAAATGCAGTTGAACAGCTTGAGTTTGTTTGTTTGGTGGTGGTGTTCTGTTGTTTGTTTCTTTTAAAGAGTGTTTTTTCAACTTATTTTACTGCAAGAAAATGGTTCTTCCACTGGGTCCCAGCCTCTCTCTGCCCACATGGGTTTTGTCATTCCAAATCCCTACCAGGAAAGTGCTGTCCCAACTTCTTGCCTTGTGTTTGGGGCTGGGAATGGGGTCAGGTAGTGAGTAGCTGACGGGGGGTGTGAGTGGTGCAGCACACACCAGCTGCTCACCCCACACCAGCTGGGACTGATTTCGGTCAGTCACCGAGAAGTTTATAGACTGCTTCCTCCCCCCTTCAACTTGGGGAAGTAAAAACTAGCACAGGTCAAAGCTAAGACCCTGGCCCTGCTCAGTTGGGTCAGTGCAGGGCACGCTGCCTGAGGCTGATGCTGCTGCCTTCCGGCATCGCTGGAGTGAATGCAGTTTCTGACTGAGCATCGTTGCTGAAAGGAGCCTGAATTGCAATCACAAATCTCTTATAAGTGACACCAATGGGCACGTTCTTCACCCACTCTGTGTGTGGCTGCCTCGGTGGTCCCAGCCAGCTTCCCCTCCATCCTGTGTTGTCCCCATGGCTCTGCTGCCTTTGGCACCACTCCTGCCACCGTGTTTTTGCCTGCTTTGCAGTCTCCCACCCCAGAGTGTGCTTGTTTAAAGCACCCCCACAACATTCATTTTAATGGGATATTAACTTGCAGGCTCTGGAGGTTTGGATTGGGGAGCAGCACCGCTGCGAGACAGGCGTGTCAGAAGGTAGGATGCTAGCAGACCAGGCAGCATTGATGGGCATGGGTGACAAGAAAGCTCTGGCATCTTCCTCCCTGGGAAGCAAACATGCACTGAGGAAACAAATGTTAAACCAGCCCCCATGGAAAAGCACCGAACAAACTCAGCTGGAGATCCCCATCGCCACCACCCCAAAACTTACCCTTTCCAAAATGAGAATACCAGAAAGAATTAATATAGTGAAACATACAGCAAAAGCCTATTCAGGCTGTCATGGGTGTTTTTAAAACCCATGGGTGGTTTTAAAACCCATGCTGGTTTTATTGTGCTAGGTGCTGCACCAATAAGCTGATTACAGGCATGTTACAGGGTGAATGGGGAAGGAGAAGCCCCCTGTTGAGTTGGATCTAATTGGAAG